GAAACGCATAGAAGCACAGTAAAACTATTAATTTTGTTTACATCCACACTTCAGGCTTAATTCAGAGTCAAGAAAAACATAAAGCATTAATCTGTATTAGGTAAAAAGAAACTATATTCCATACTCCTATTTTTTTTCTACTTCTGTTGCTGAAATGACTGGATATGCTTAAACAAGGACCAGCACAGGGTTGCAGATTGGCAGATCTTCTGGAAAGGGAATTAGCCAAAGTTGTTGCTTTTGTATCATTGCTGATCCTGAGTAACAGCGATCAAAGCATACAGAAGACAACTTACAGATAAACACTGTGCTGGAAAACACTTCACAAAGCTTCTAACTATTTAGACTATATACAACTAGTTAGTTAGACTGTTATAACTAGTTAGACTTCTAACTATCTGTAGAGCAGTCACAAAACGTGAAGAACTGCGTAGAGAAATAAAATAGTAAAGGAAAAGCGCATCTCCACACATCCTTATGAGTAGAGTAGTTGCCACAGTTTAGAATCATTGAATCATTAAAATCAGAAAAAAATCACTAAGATCAAGTAGTCCAATCATCAGCCCATTACCACAATGCTTGCTAAAACATATCCATCAGTGCCTTTTCTTGGACACCTCCAGAGACAGTGACTCAACCACCTCCTGGGCAGTCTCTGCAAACAATTCACCACTCTTTCAGAGAATAATTTTTTCCTAATACCCAACCTGAACCTCCCTGGCACAACTTGAGGCCATTACTTCTCATCCTATCCACAGTCACATGGGAGAAGAGGCTGACCCCCAACTCACCACAACTTCCTTTCAAGTACTTGTAGAGAGCAATAAGGTCTCCTCCAGACTTAAGAATCCCACAATACTTGTTTTCCTGATCCTTCACTAGCTTTGCTGTCCTTCTTTGGACACCCATTTTTTCTACCTTTCTTCTCAATTAGTGCTTTCAAATTTACTCTACAAGAACAGTGTCAGCACCAGAGCCTAGTAAAGTTCTTGGTGGAGATAATTTCATCGACTTCAATCATCTTCATCAACTAAAGATGATGCACTGAAGAACTGTCTCACTCAAGTTCCTCCTTGGGCATGTGTACATTATTCCTTATGCAACTAGAGCCAGGACACAGTCTTAAAGAATAGTTACAAGTGACTACACTGCGATAAAATATCATAGAATCATAGAACGGCTTGGGTTGAAAGGGATCTCAAGGATCATCAAGCTCCAACGCCCCTGACACATGCGGGGCAGCCCCCTCCACATTTAATACTAGACCAGGCTGCCCAGGATTCCATCCAACCTGGCAATGAGCACCTTCAGGGATGGGGCATCCACAACCCCTCTGGACTTAAATCACGCAGCTTAAATGTATTTGGTCACAGCAATTCTTCAGTAAGCATGAGAAAACTGCCTTCAAAATTAAATGCTTTGAAGATTTCCACTACTAGAAGCTCAACATTTGCCTATTCAAATGTACTTCAAGGTATTGTAAGACATTTTCCCCAGACTTTGTACATATATGTTATCACTGGCAACAGATGTTTTGTTGAAATTCTGTACAATACCCATTGAACAGCACAAATAAAAGAACAATTGGCCACAGGAGGCTAAACACTCAAGAAGAATACTCAAGGTTCCTCATTTAATTGAAACTTCGGAGCATAATTCAAAGCAGGCTTGAGTTATGTTAAAATGAAATGATCACCACACCATTTCCCCTAGAAAAACCAGCTGTCCCCCATTGCCCAGATCTGTGCAGTTGTGAGAGTACAGGCTAGTACAAGAGGGTTCAGCTCAACAAGGCTCCAAGGGAGATGGTGTGTCTGGATCTACAGCTCTGGGCAAGACACGTGGGTCCCTAAGCGTATGAGGAGAGCTAATATATACAAAAAAAGAGGTGCAGAAAATGAATAGAGATACTAAAAAGAACAAAACATTGGGTTAACTTACAAGAAAAAACACTGACAACAGCTTAAAATGTGTCCATCTCCAGGACAATACTAGTAGTATTCAACAAGGGTCTGGAAAGTTCCTCTGAAAGCAACTGTCTACAACTTCCTTCTCAACAAGCTGATTCCCCTCCCGTTGCACAGAACAGCATGAGCCTGACCATGTGTGTTACACTGGGGAAGGCAGTGTCTGCCATCTGGTTGTATGATGGCACAGCTCGTGGAGCCATGGCTGCTCAGGGGACAGATCTGCTCCACATCTGCAGTGTTCTCAGAGGTGTCAGCATTGATGGTAATGCCCCTGAGTTTGGAACTACACTGAGAAAGTGGCAGACGTTGGCTCTAATTCCCAGCTCTGTCTCCACAGGGTCAAATCATAGCATCATAGAAATGTTTTCATTGGAAAGGACCTTTAAAGGTCATCTAGTCCAACTCTCCTGCAATGAGAAGTGTTTTCTTCTACTTACTGCTCCCAGGGTGACGAATATACTTTACATTTGTATTATACTTAATGACTAATGAACAAAACATATACAATTCTGGGAGTGATGAGGTACATCAAGGCTCTTATCTACTTGGTTGTGTGGCTCAGATACAAATTAATTAAAATTCTTCTGGAAAGAGGAGAATAGCTGCACTTTTAGACCCCAGTAATGACCAAGCCTCAGACAGGCACCATTGTGCTGTCCATCATCAGTGGATGGCTGACAGTTCTTGAATAAAAGTTCAGCTGTGGGCATCTGAGGAACTTAAAAGTGAAAACTAAGATGTCATTAGAGAATAAAGAGGAGTTAGCAGCTGCCCGATGCCTTCAGGATTACAGCTATATTTGACAGCTACATTTCAGCTCAGGTAATTCAGAAGGGTCGGGGGGGAGGAAGGGAAGTGCTGAAATACTAAACTTAGACTGCTACTTTAAATAAAGTGGTTAGACTTGAACTGAAGCAGGAACTACTCGTCCACTGGATAACATGGGAGCCCAAGAACTGAATCCAGAGCACTCAGAAGCTCCTGCCCAAAGCTCCTATCAGAATTCTCAACAAATATGTATTTCTTCCTTCACTTCTTCCCAAACACAGGTTAATGGACTGTACTTTCCAGATCACGGCAGAGATGCACCACCAGCCTCAGTTCCTCTGAGTACAGCACAGCTCCATTCTTTGTCCAGTACTGCAAGTAACAGAGTGCATCACACAGAATAGAAGTGATTAGCAGCATAGCAGCTGCACACTCTTTCTGAAGACTTTCTTAAAACTATCAGTTGGCAGCTGTACCAACATACTGTGGAGACTGACATTCTCTGTATTAATGACAAGGTTATTTTTTCTCTTCCCTTTCTCACACCTATTAATATCACATTTGTACTACAAGCAACAGTTACTTCCTTAGCTTCCACTTAGAGAATAACGCTGAACAGAAGGATTTGGGCAAAGAGCAGAGGCAGCCAGCATTCCGAGCTCCCATCCCACCTCAACCCTCAGCTCCAGCACACGAATCCAACCCTCCTCCAACCTATCCCAAGTCACTCTCTGAATCACTTCGCTTTAAGAAAAAAAAAAAAAGAAAAAAAGAAAAAAACCCTAAAACTTGAAATCAAACGTTGCGAGCACTCCTCGCCTTTTCAGCACCACGAGGAGCGATAAAAGTTGGCAGAACTCGCACGAGGGGATGCGCTCAGCCGGAGGTACAGGGATCCCGGCGCTGCCTCCCGGCTGACCGCAGGAGCCCACCCGGTGCACGAGACCCCGCGCTACGACACGAGGGTTGCCCGGAGTCCGCTCCCCCTGCCGTTACCTCGATGTAAGGGACGATTTTGCAGGAGAAGTCCTCTAGGAGCCACTTCTTGGTAAGCTCCTGGAAGATGACCAGCGGCAGGCAGAAGAAGACGATGAGGAAGTCCCAGAAGGCCAGGTTGGCCAGCAGGGAGTTGGAGATGCTCCGCATGTAGTAGTTGTGGCAAACGATGCACATCACTGCCATGTTGCCCATGATGCCGATGCCGAAGATCACCACGGAGAGGCACATAACGGCGTAGGCACCGTACGACTCCTCGGTCAGCGGATAGAAGGGGTTCCGGAGCCGGGCTCGGCGCCCCGTACCGTTGCCGCGGCCCCCGGCGGCGCTCTCGCCGCGGGCAGAGCCGTTCAGCGGCAGCCACCGGGGGCCGCTCCCCGCCGCCGCCCCGACCCCACTCTCGCTGCTCCGCGCCCGCCGCCGCCCGGGCTCCGCCTCGGCCCCGCGTCCGGGCGCGGCGGCCGCGCGGCGGCCGGGGGGGGCGAGCGGCGTCGGGGTCGGCGCCGAGCGGGAGCGCTGCGGAGGCGCCGGCAGCGCGGAGCCGGCTGAGGCGAGCACGGAGCAGGCGGCCCAGGCGCCCAGCACCGGGCAAAGCAGGGCGAGGGGAGCGCGGAGCGGCCGCATGGCCGGGAGGCGGCGGGGCTCAGCCGCTGCCCTTGGGCTCGGCGGGACTAGCGGCGGGGGGCATGCCCGCACGCGGAGCCGAGCTTCTCACCGCCTCCCGGGGCAGAGCCCGAAAGTTGTGCCGCCGCCTCCGCCGCGCGGAGTTAATGTAGCTCGTGCGGAGCCGGGAGGACCCCCCCGGCGCTCCGCCCTTCCGCGGCAGCGCTGCCGCCCCGCCGCGTGCCGCCTATTTACATCCTCCCTCGGGCAGCGCGGCTGTCGGTGGGGAGAAGTCCCGCTTGAACCGCCGCCCCTACCCGGGTGACCGCGGCCACCGGCTCCTCCAGGAGAGAACAGGTTGCCGCGTGTTTGAGCGCTTTGCCAAACTCCGGCCGGCGGCGAGCACGGCGCTTGGGGTGGGCGCAGTCCCGGGACCGACCCCTGAGGGATGCTACCGACTCCGGCTGCAGCGAGAGGGCGGCGACCGCGGCGCCGCGCGGGAGTTGCGGGGCGCTGGGCGGCGGGGCTCTCCCGGCTCAACCCGCTGCCGCTCAGTCCGGCTCTGCCCAGCCCGGCTCGGCGCAGCGGCGGCCGGGGGCGCGCCGGGGAGGCGGGCGAGCAGCGCGGCGGCCTCGCAGTGCGCAAGCGCCGCCCGGCGGCGCGGTGGGAGCGCTCCGACTCCGGCCGTGGCCGCGGCGCCGCCCGGCGGGTCCGGCTCCGGTAGGTGAGGGAATCTGGCGAGATGGGGCCGAAAGCACCACCCTTGTGACTGGACACCGCCAGAGAGGCATCCCCGGATGGTGCTGAGGCCCACGAAGGCTGCTCTGTTTTTTTCTGGTGTTTTTTTTTTTTTTTTTTTTTTTTGTTTGTTTTCCCGTGTTGAGCGTTTTTTAACGTTTTTGTTTATTGGCTTTGTTCAGTCTGATAAACTTTACAGCTCTTCCTTCTTGCTTCCCTGATTTTTGTATTATCCAAGCGATTTTTTAGCTTAACAAAGTTGGATACACCACTTATTTCCCTGTAAGTAGCCTGAAGGACTCTGTCTCTCTTTTCCATCCTTAAGAGGCTCTACATAGCTCCTTCCCACCACCTTTAAAAGTTTTACATTCTTCTTATGAAGCACTTTGAGAAGTATTCTTGTTCCCCCTTGAGCTGAAGCTGTTATGTAAGCAGCTGGAGCTGTGCTTCATGGCTGTGCATCTGAGCTGTGGGCTCCTCTTGTAGGCAAGTATTGCGACCTTGTGCGCAAGGAGTGTGTTTGCAGGCTTTTTGTCTTAATGACCAACAAAGGAAAATGTCAGTCTGCAGTGACAGAAAATACATGCTGCACACACACAGAGCCAACCTGCCAGCTTAAATCAGGGACATATTGCTGCCGCTTTGTCACGGAGGGGCACAGGCAAGCTGTAGTGCCCAAAGGGTTCTTTGTATGGATTGTTTCTTATAGTTTATTTCACAGAATCGTTTGAGTTGGAAGGAATCCCTGAAGGTCATCTAGTCCAACCACTCTGCAATGAACAGGGACACTTACAGCTACATCAGATTGCTCGGAGTCCCCTCCAGCCTAACCTTGAATGTCTCAAAGGGCAGGGCACTCACCATCTCTCTGGGCAACTTGTTCCAGTGCCTCACCACCCTTATTTAAAAAAAAAAAAAAAAAAAACAAAAAACAAAAAAACAACACTTTCCTTATATCCAGTCTAAATCTCCCCTCTTTTAGTTTGAAATCATTTCCCTTTGTCCTGTCACAGCAGACCCAGTCTGTCCCCTCCTTTCTTACAGCCCCCCTATAGGTATCGAAAAGCCACTCTCAAATCCTCATGGAGCCTTCTGTTCTCCATGCTGAACATCCCCATCTCTTTCAGCCTGTCCTAGTAGGGGAGTGTTCCAGGTGACGTCGCACCAGCACAGAGCGGAGGGCAGGATCACTTCTCTCAACCTGCTGGCCAGTTTTCGACACAGCCGAGGATCCGGTTGCCTTTCTGGGCTGGACAAACACGAACCCACCCAAGTGGCAGAAGGGAAGCATTGCATCAAGGCATTCACTGGACTGACTTTGCCTTCAACAGAGTACCTGGGATCAGGTATTGCATGGAACATCTGACATATCTGATGCAAATAACTGTCTGAAGGTGTCCCTGAACACTGCCTACCCCAGAAGGACAAAAAAATTGACCTCAGAGTGGCTAAAAGGAGTGAATCCTGTCCCACTCTAACTGAGGAGCAGCGCCTTTCCATGGCTGTCACACAGAAAGCTCTCAGGACCCAGGCGCCGTCCTGCTCCTGACACCATTCTCACACATGGAGTTGGAATGTAACTGTGGGCAGCCTGAAATGTTTCTAAGCATGTGGAAACAGGTGTAGTAAGTTGGCACTACTGCACAGAATGCTCCTTAATATAAGTTATGCTATTATTCTTCCTTAGCAATGTGCCACTTCATGGACTTTAATAGCCAAGAAAATAAATAATATTTTTTATCTAACAAGAGTGTCTTTGAGTAGAAAAAGAGCAGGAAAATAAGGGAATGGTAAATATATTTTACCTTTTTATTCTTTTTTTTTTTTTTTTTTCTCCCGTTTGATTCTTTGGAGCTCAGCTGGTGTATAAAAGGAGTTAATGATGCTAATGAGCTTACATTTACTGTGCCTTTCTTCCTCAAGAGTCCCAAAGGGCATTACAAGCAGATATAATAAATTCACTGCTTGTTCTTAAAGGATACCGAGGAGTATTGCTCCTGGCTTTGTATGGAGAAGCAGACAGAAGTCAGCAGATGCACTGCCTTTCTGCGTATTCCTGGAAGAGCTATGCATCCTGAAGAAGAAGGTTAAGCAGCACTTGGTTTACATCAGTGGTCCTTTAATGGTGAGATAAGAACTGAGTCCTGCATCAGTATTCCAGTGTCAGCAGTCTGTCTGTTTATAACAGAGACAATTGATTTCTAAACACAAAAAAGGTCCCATAAATTATTGTTCTCTGCTTACAGTTTTGTCACATTTTTCTTACTAACTATTTGGATTGTTACAAAGAGCAGCAGTGGCCAAATATATATATATATATATATATATTCTGTTTTGTAGCTTGTGGCTATGCAGCCCTGCTTGGAACAGAGAAGCTTGTCTTATTTGTATGGAATGATGAAAGCCTTTCTGCACTTTTGCTTTGCTGAAACCTTTACATAAAAGGGTGTCAGAAGAATGATATTCCCCAGTGGTTTCCTATCTGATTGGGTCACAGTTCTGTGCAGATTTAGGACTGGCAGATGGCCTCTGCACCTCACTGCAATGACTTCATTCTGCTGTCTGCAGAGGTCTCCCTTCGTTGCCTCTGCACAGTTACCTTTGCTGTCAGAATGGCCCCCAGTTTACTACTGCTACCCTGTTCAGTGCTGAAAGTCAGCATCAGAAGCTTTAGCTTTCCCAATTTCTTTCATCTCAAACATTCAATTACAAATTTGCTGCAATCTGTATAATTTGTTTGTTTATCTGTGTTTTCATTTGTTTGTTTTGCATATGTCTTTATTCCTTCAGATCAGTTAGCTATTTCCTGCAGTGAGATCTTCCTTCAGGACAAAGCTCTGCTCTGGCATGTTGTGATGCCGCCTCCGGTTCCGTTAGCTTTCACAGCTCAGAGTGTGCGCCGCTGCTGAAGGAGCTGTGGAGCAGTGACAGCCCTCCCCACCAATTCATGCATCAGCCTGGAAACAGCCTTGAGAGCCACCAGCAGACAATTAGATTCATAGCACGTTGAAGGAAACAGCAACAGCTTTTTTTTTTTCTGTTAGATGGAGAAATGAAAACTAAAGTTTGAGATGTTTTTGCAGCCAAAGTTGGTTATAGGAAAACCAATAAACCAATAAATGTTCCTACATTAAAGAGAAAAAGAGCAGAATTTGAAAAGTTTCCAAGTCTACATTCTTCTTGTTGGTTTTCCATGACATTTTAACTATGATAAAGAAATCAATATGCTTTCAATGCTTCAGTGTGATTTTTTGTTTGACATCTCCTATAGCCATTAACAGAATACGTGATACTGCAGTACTCCCAGCCTGAGCACGTTGTGGTGCTGCACAGGAAGGGATGAGTGTTGCCTTTTCTTAGTCCTCCTCAGGGCTGCTATGCAACAGTTCATCAATGAAGAAGGAAAAGAGCAAATAATCCAAAATGATTTCTGTTCTTTTTTGGTTTTAAACTACAGTATGATTGGCTGCCTCACACTACACTCTCTTTCAATATTTAGGCAAATGCATTAGGACAAAATTTCTCCTTGCACTCATTAACTGATCTGTTGACACTGTCCTCTTACAGATCCCTGAGTTTTCATATGTTTCACCTGATTAGAAAAACATGAGTTCAGAGAGAACATCATTTCTGTGATCCAGTACTATTTCAGGCAGACCCAAATCCCCCAGTCATTGGAAAGCTTTTACTGTTGAACTTCGTTGCTTATATGGCTGAATCAGGCTCAGTAAATAAATGTTGGAAAGGTTGAAGATGAAATTCAAAAAGAAAATCAAAGTTTAATGATAAAAGTGGGAACTTTTTTGTAATTACTGTTGTGATTCTGCATTTATTGAGGTCCATTAGGAAAGCTTATGATGGCTCTTGAGTATAGATTGCTATTTCAGACTTGCTTCACATTTAAAATTATAATACTCTCCCTTTTAACCTTTCTCTCCCTCTGAAGCTTGAGTTCTGCTTTCAAAGGCAAGCGGTGGGTGCTCACATAGAACGAAGTGATTTGCTTTTAAGGTTATTCTTGTTTTGAAACATAATTTCCAGCAGCCCTTCTGTTACTATTAGCGATAGAAAGACAAGTGATCTATATCACATAGAAAACTAAAATGTGATTGATACTTGCATTACTGCTTTTCTGTTTTGTTTTATTCAAAAGGCAGAGCAATATATAGAATATCTAGCAACATTGATCGTTGGAGACAGAAGAAGTCAATATTTTTTTAAAGGTGAATTACTTGGAGAATAGATTACATTTATATAGCATGAACCTGGGAGAAAGGAGTAGCTATTAGTGAGAGACCATGGATAAAGCCATGGAGAAGGCAAAACCACGAGTCATGCCCATCCACATCAAATCATTCTATTTCAGGATCTCGTGTTTGGCATGAGATCCCTATTATCTGTGATCATCTTCACAAATTTCTATGTATAGTATAGTATTCAAACAGATAAAAGATCTCAGTAATCAGTGGTGCTAGAGGTAAGATATAAAGACTTCTTTTTTCATTGTCTGAAACTCTAATTTGGGAAAAGAATAAAACCTTTCCTATTTCACCTATTATACATGATTTTAATTACAGATGTTAAGAAACATAAAGGGGCAATGAAGGTCTTATGAATGCTTGTTAAACCTTTGCAGACTTTTCAAATGCTAGGTGGCATCAGCTTTCAACATCACTGATTTTCTACAATAGTCACCACAGTGATATTCTTTTGATCATTGCATTTCAGAAAATTCTTAGATGTTTTATATTTGTTTTGCAACATGATTTATACAAAATATTTTTTTCCTATTCTTTCTGATCTTTTTAGTTTTGTAGTATAGAAAAATAGCCATGGTGCTCCTCTTCTTTTTCATTTCCAAGTTTGAGTATTTCATCTGATTTGGATTGGCACATTGACACAAACTGGTGTTCAGGGCTTAAAGTCAATCCACATTTGTGACACAGATAATCGTCAGGAACATTGCTCCAGTCATTGCTTGCACTAGTTTATTATTTAATCAAAATCTGAAGTTCAAAGGAAATTAAAAATCATGAAGAGTGTGGGCTTGTAAGAACTGAATTAAGAATGAATTTGCTATGTGGGAAGCCATAGTAAATGTTTCAGAGCTGATATGGGAAACCCAATGGAAGACAGAAAACTCCATTATTCCCAGTGCTTGGAAACTCCAAGTAATGGCAATAGTTCATAGGTTCAAAAGGTTTTGGAAGCACTGTCATGCTTAGGATGGCCCTGAGTGCCTAATATACCTTCCCAACACCAGCCTAGATGGAGACGGCGGTGATCACCTCTTGCATTTCCCCATGAGGCAAAGAAGAGATGGCATGTTGTTATCAAGAGTTTGGTATCATTTTCTACATTTGATTACCATTTTTTCCTTGTCTCAGGTTGGCAGAGGCAATGAATGACATCTCAGAAGTTGGCTTTTAACAGCCAGTACAGCTCTAAAGCAAAATGAAGACAATGAGGGAAAGAGGGACAAGAGTCAAGAAGGCTTTCAGAAAAAAAGGAAAAAGAAAAGAAAAAAGAAAAAAAGTCATCAGTGAGGAAGTGGTAATTCTCTGGAGAGAATATAAGAAAAGAAGGACAGCCTAAAGAACAAAATGATGTGAGAGCCCCTAGGGGAGGTGTAGACACAGCTTCACGCCTTTTCAGCAGAGAGGAGAAAATCTGTTGCTAGACTTTTGTTATCTTTCAGTGTTGTAGTCTCCTTCACCTCACACCATGTGTGGCCCTTGGGCTTATTCTCTAGATTGAAATGCCAGAATGTATTTGCTTGTAAACACTTAAAGTCTTGTGTTGGCTCTGTGTGCTGAGGATTTTCTCCCTCCCTGTTCCTCATGAAATTACTGAACATGCTGCCTAAACATACATTCACTTTTGTGACTAATGAAGTGCACTCCAAACACTCATATGTATGCTGCTCTTCATTCCTATTGCTACGCCTGGGTCACTGTTTTGCCCATATGAGATATTTGTTTTTCTGTAGTGGGCTGTCCTTTCACTAATGAAGTAGACTTATGCTGTCTTCTCACTCTATTTTTTTTTCTTTTTTTTTTCTTTTTTTTTTTGAGTTAGACCCTGGTTTGTTTTCTGCCTGTTTTTCTGTTCAGTTTAGAGTTTCTCAACTGTAATTTCATCTACAGAACTCATTTACATGTTCTTTACCTTTCCTTCCAGCTTACTAATGAAGTTATTACAACAAGAAACAAGTTCATATCTTGCAGTAGACCAACTGCACACCTCCCAACAACACAGTGCAACCCACTGCCATTTCTCATCAGCCTGACTTTGTGATCCTTCAACCTGTTTTCAATTTACATGACAGTGCTTATGTCCAAAGCAATTTGAATTCATTTTGGGAGATTTAGTGAGACTGTATTAAATCCTTTATTAAAATCATGCTGTGTATCCTTCATCCAGGATTTCTGCAGTTCTATCAAAAAAGCAATCACGTTTCCTTGGCACGACATGTTCCTTATGAACCCATGCTGCTTATTGTTTATAGTTCCATTATCCTTTGAATGTTTAGTGAAGTGTTTTGTTGTTTTTTTTCTCTCCTTATTTTCTTTTTCCCCTCAGCACTTGTTCTGTTCTTTCTCAAAATAAAGTATGCTTGGAATTAGACTCCTTGTTTAGTAAACTACTCTACTTTTCTTTGTTGATGTTTGAGGCTATACTTACTATGCTATGTAACTTTTCAGAAATAATTTTTAAGGGCTTTGTATTTTCATGTGCACTCAGGGATGTCTTTAACTTGGGGTGTTTGGATGGATGCTGCTGTTTTCTTTATTTCTGCACTATGAATAGCAAATTTCTGCTGTTGACTTTCCATCAACCTTCTGCTTTCAATAAAGACAAATAATAAATAAACACATGTGGAAATTATGATTTTTGCTTGCCCTTCCCATATTAAAGTAGCTCTACTTTGAGACAACATTTACATTTATTTTATATGTTTTAACAATCCCCTTAGGTATCACAAACTTCTTCTTGGCTTTATTCTGAAAGCTGTTGAGCATTTTGACCTCGGTTTAACAAAATATACAAGAATATATTTACTTTTAATCACCAAAGTCATCAGCTTTTTTGGAAATCTTCATAGATTCAGGTTAAGCACAAGATTTTATGCTTTGCTCTTGCTCATACAAATCATCTTCTACAGTTCATCTTGTCTCTGAATACTAGCCCACTCTGTATATTTTGTTTGCTTTCTTCTTTACAAGTAAATACATTGCCTTGGGGAGAAGAGTAATTTAGAAATCTGTGATATCTCACACACATTCTCCCTTTTGTGTCCTCTTTGTTCTAAGTTAACCTCAGATCCAGTGTGTTACAGTTGGTGAGAATATTCCCAATCAGTGCAATTAATTTGGATCAGTCCCTTAGCTGTCAAATTTCATATCTTGTTTTAACTTCTGGGCCTCTTTTCTATTCCTTTCTCTTTCTCTCTCCCTCTCTTTTTCCTCCTCTCTCTCTTGTTTTATATCCTACAGCAAATTGATAGCTTCTGAAGGTTTGCAATTATTCGTACTAAAGAGCTACTAACTGCATCTCAGCAGCTCCAGTGTTACTTACAGTGCATTTTCATGTTATGCCCTTATGAGGGACAAATCTATTACCTCTTTTAGAGGTAATAGATTTGCTTGATTTTCTATATTTGCAAATTTTCTGTATGTGTTTCACTGGCGAAAATTCTCTCCTTCCTTAGCACTGACAGAATTCATCACCATCTCTTAAAAAGGACATGGTATTAAGTCTCTGGTAGCGTCAGAAGGTCACTGAGGAGAAGAGGCAGCCAGAGATGCCAGCTCTTTTGTCATTGGTCATATGATTCACAGATGTCCTGGGCCACACAAGGCTTCTGAGAGTGCTGGCAAGTACTGCTTGTTGTCATGATATCTTAGGCTATGCTTTTTTTCTACCTAAATTGCATCAGCATTATTTCTGCACCTCAGCCTGCAGCATGAGCTGGTATATTCTTCCCTTTAAATAGTCTGTGAATGCCCTACATGAAGCAAATGCCATCATTACTAGGATTTCTCTGTCAAATGGCGTATAATCAGAAGGTACTTGTTAGCTGTATCCACTAATAGATTGCAGATACTTTTTACAAGACACATATCTTGACACTGAGAGTGCTGTCGTTCCCTGCATCAGAAATGCCTTCCCTGGAGCAGTGGATAAATGACCAATACAATGTCCAGATCTTTGGCTGCAGCTGTTCTTTTCTAATAAGGCCAGAGGAGACACAGGGATGGAATAAAAGCAAACTATCTCTTATTTAGTTGATTCTAAAGCTTTTAAATACAGCTTTTTGGGTCAGGGCTGCTCACAGAGGCGTGCTGAGGAGTGGTGTCTGCAGCCCTTTCCTCCCCAGGGGCTCACAGACCCTTCCTCCATGGTGTTTGGCAAGCAACAATTTTCTTAATTCAGGAAAATCTCACTTGTTTTGTTTTATCTGCTTTTTAATGCATACTTCATAGCATAAAAGGATCGGGAGAAAAAGGCCAAGAATCTGGTTTGGTGGCTATAAAGAGCTTTAGAAATGCATTATTGAGCTCCTAAAGAACTTAATTCCATGGAACCATGAAGAATAGAGGAAGCGATACGTCTTGCAGAAGGAGTATATATTACTGGGGTGTTTAAAATTGCTTTAAAAATAATAAACCAAAATCCACTGGATAACCATGAATCCCTTCTTATATGACTACGAATGGAAAGAAAGCTGATGGCATTTATTTTTCTGTCTGATTTTACTTACAGGCTGTAAGTTAAGAATTATTTTAGTCTAGTTCATGAAAGAAATGTTATGTTTCAGTATGCTCATTTCTTGCTCTTAGCAGCCACTGTCAAACTGTGTTTCATGCGGATGTTGTCAATAAGGGTGAGGGAGAGCTGGCTGGCTGCAGAGTGAGACATATGAGTGTGCATACGTGCATCATTTAGCTTTACTGTGAGCAAAGATTTCTGCCATGCCCCCTCCAACACTGCAACAGCTACGGTTTCTGTGAAGAGTTTTAAGAACGTATTTAATGAATATTTTAGCCAGGCAAAGGCTGTGCTGTGATGTTTGCGAGGATCCTGATGCTATGCTTGCAGGGAAGGCACCAGCTTGTTAGTGATGGGGCTCCCGCCTTCGCTGAGGGCTTTGGATTAATGACTTCAGACAGACAGATGTGAGTCTCAGGCCGTGCGTGGGGGAAGGGCTTTCTCCTCAGAGAGCCATGCAGTGCTTCTGGTGATGGAACAGTGCAAAGGAAGGAAAGGAAGGCTGGCATGGCAAAACAAAGGACAGAATATAAATATTGCAGTTACTTTATGTGGGAAGTAATGCATGGCAGCTAGTTTGAGTCCATCCAAAACCCTGTGCTTTCTTTATGTTTGCTGTGTAAATCTTAAGCTAAAATAAGTTTCCAGCATATGCATGCAGCAATGTTACCAACGCATGGCTGTTAATGGAGCTGAGTTTCCCATGAGCAAATGCTATGGGAGAACTGATTTCTTTGGAGTAGAACTTTTTATTATAAAACACCAGATCTGTCATAGCAGATCCATCAAGATTATCCCCTGCACGGTAGCTTTCCTGCTATGTTATCAAAAATAAATAATATCAAGTAAAATCTAAACATCTTTATCAAGCACTTATAAATGAGGGATTCCCTTTGGGAGACAAGTTGCACTATGTACACTTTATCATAAAATATTCACATACTCTGTGACATCTGCATAGTACAAGATAGTATGATATTAAACAGCATTTGGAATGCAATTGCAAACATAGAAGAGCAAATAGAAATGTTACACAGTATTTCATACTGTGCTTATAAAATTATTAGGGGAACATAAAAGCTCATAACACTAACATCCTGAAATATAGTTATAGGCTTTTTTTGGGGTACAGACTGCATATTCCAATTCAATATCCATTACATTTGTATAATAATGCATATTGTAAATACACATATGCAAACATGCTGTTCCACACAAGCGCATGCTATGCCATAGATGATTTGGTAAGGTATATTCATCACATTTTCTATGTTGTTTTGTACATCAGTATTAAAACCAAGAAAGCAGAGATATATTTTCGCTCTAAATTCATAACTATTTGAATGGATAAACTGGAACAATGTGATGTAGAAGGAATTTTATTCTGGAAGACTGTTAGGATTAAGCTCTCTGGCTTTCTATTCAAAAGCGAAACTTTGAACAGTGGGTGGTGTTTGAGCACAGAGGCAAACAAGCATATTTCTCAGTGAGTAGTTCTTAAATATAGCCCAAGTAAAGCCTGGTGAAAGATTCAGAAATAGTAAGTAGCAGCTGAAGGAAAAAAAAAAAATTGCTGGATGGACATAATGTGTCACAATAGCCCGTCACATTGAGATAATGTACAGCTGCAATGACGTCAGCTGCCCTACCAAGAGTCCTGTGACAGGGCCTTAGAATAATGAAACTGAATACAAATAATAAAGGACTCCATTAGCACACACAGCATGGTGATAGACTAGAGACTTCTGAGCATCCTCTTGAGGCAGATAACCTTTGCTGAGAGCAAGGACCTTCTCAGGTTTTGGGGACTGATAACTGCTGATTCATTCAGATAGCAGTATCTTTCAAGATTTCCCTAAAAGCAAGCCCCTCATCTACAAGGCTGTAAAAGCACAGCTTTCTTCATCAGTGTAATGGTGGCATTCTGTGCTGTGTGTAGTAATGATCCCACTAAGAGACTTTGTATTTACAGCATGGGAAGTGGGAAAGGAAGAAAGCCCTGAAAGGTACCACATTTCAGATTCTTTTTCTCTGATTCTACACAATAACCCAGCAAAGCCAGTTATCTTCCCCCATTCTTAGACAGATAGAAATGGAAGGATATTTTGGGTAAGGCCTTGAGAGATACAGACTCCGAGAGACTTCTTTTAGTGTGCCCTCAAGGAAATGATTCAGCTGGCCACTCTTTAGTGCCCATTATTGACAAAAGAGGATCACTCTTACTGGTTTTATTGATTTGATATTTCTAGGCTTTTAGGGCTGTGACTGATTTGCAGCAAAGCACCTATAAAATGTTGAACGCACAATGTCCCCCTGGTGTTTGGGCCTGTGTGCACTGCCAAACTGCGAGTCGGACCACAGGAGAACAGCTTTAGAAACATCAGCAATTTCTTTTGGTTGATAAAATGAAATATTACTGGTTAGAAATACAGTTTATTTTGAAAAGACAATGAAAGCAAAACTAAACGTTTCTAGGGACAGCACAGGTAGAAGCATCTAAAATCAGTGCTGCCTTTAACTGTCATGGAGCTTTTCATTTTTCTAGAAATTGGCCAACTGGGATTAATTGCACCAGGCTGAATTTTTAGGCTGTTTCCTTAGAAAATGTCTGGGCAGAGTATTAAGCAATCAGTCTCTTGTTTTGACCATTACAAAGTGCTGACACCCATCTCCTTTGAAAGCTTTCTTGCTGAAGCTTGAAATACACTGAAGAAAAGCAAAGAAAGGTCCCTTTCTGTTGTTTCCCTGTGATGCTATTCCACCTGCTCTGTGTTTTACCTCTGCAGGATGCTTACTGCACATCCTGTTTTCACTACAACTACTCCAGCACTCTCACCAAGCCATACATAAGCCAGCACCACTGTTTGTGCTTTGAACCTGAGTGAATAGCACCAGAAAAGGAGAGAGTACAGGAGTTCAGCATGGAAACAGGAGTCAGGGGACTGAACAGAAGAGAACAGAAGAGAGGATGAAATTGAGGGAATGACAACTCATGAGTCAGGAGCAGAAGGACGTTGGATGGAAAACTGGAATTTAAAAAAAGAAAGAGGAGGTGGA